GCCCCAGTGCGAGGTCATGTCACAAAATGTGCACTGACATCCAGCGAAGGCAGATCTACATGCTGGGCCGTTACTTGGATTCCTCTGTGAGGAACAGCAAGTCTTTGAAAAGTGACTTCTATTGGATGCCAAGGTCTACACAGGAAAGGACAACCTGAACGTTGACCAGTCAAGATAGTCTACAGAATACCTTCCTGTGTCACCCTTGTTGAAAAAAGCTCTGGCAATGGCCTTGTGTTTGAGCAAGAAGTGGTTAACAGATGATAAAAAAGAGTCAGCTTTTGAAATTTTTCCCTGCATAGTGTCACTTTGTGAAAGGTAGTGAGCAGAAGAGGGTGTCCTGTAGACCATCTTGACTGGTGCCATCAGTGTTGTCAACATTCAAGCTGCCCTTGGTAAAGCTTGACATATAGATAAATTGGGGGACAGAGGGGGGAAGTAATAGCAGCTGAAATGTGAGACAAGTTTCCAGAGTTCAGGAATTCTCAAGACATGTTCCAATTAAAAGTGCAGACACTGCGAGGGAAGTTTTGCCTGCCCAAGCCTGCAAAGTGATGCAACGCCATGACAACGTGGGAAGGGAAAAACAAGAGTGGGGATGGAAGTGGGGCACATTAGAATGATTGCAGAAGAGGAGTGCACGCCATGGGATGAGACATTTTCCTGGGAACCTGCTGGGTGTGTGTGTGCGCTCTAAGGGTAGCAGAAAAACTAATCTCACTGAAATTGAATGGGTCAAGCTCAAAGCATGGCACATTGCTGTTTTTCACGAGGCTTTTCTGAAGAAGCATCAAGGCTGCAGACTGGGCATTTCTCTCAGAGTGGTGCAAATGGGGAAGGTGATTGTGAAATTTTCTATGATGTAGCCAGGCCCTTTCTAGTTTTACTATTTTTTGTAGAAGTCTGCATATTAAGTCTAAGTACAAATAAAAGTATATAGAAAGAACTATTAATTAATTAATAGTTAATATTAATTAATTAATAGTTAATTATTGTTAACTATTTATTAATTAATATTAACTATTAATTAATTATTAATTAATTATCTGTGTTCCACATTTTTCTCTATACAGGTAATCTTGATGAAAAGAACAAAGGCTTTGAGACATCAAACAGATGCCCTGTAGTTTAGGAGAGCAGTGCAAAATGAAACAGAAGGAACTGGTACATCCACAAAAGTCCAGATTATAAATGAGAGACAAAGTCTCAGATTGTAGAAAGTAGAAAAAAGCTCTTTATTTTGTATTTCTTGAGTCATTAAAAAGCTCTGGCTGAATGCATTTCAGTGAACCCTTCTTCAGGAGCTAAGCTTAACACAAAACCACACCTTAGATATTGAATCATTCACATTTTCTTCTTTTTTAAAATTATATACAGTATATACACCTGGTTTGGGACTCTCAACTTTATATAAATACATGCATTTATACTAAGCACATTAGGCTTGATAAAATATATACAGTGGTGCCCCGCACAGCGAGGTTAATCCGTTCCGGATTAACCTTCGCTGTGGGAAACATCGCACTACGGAACAGCGTTTAATGCGTTCCAATGCCATAGAATACTTACCGTAGTGCGATGTTTCCCAGGGGCCGGCAGCCATTTTCGCGCCCTCCCCTCGCACAACGAGGGCACCAAAATGGCTGCCATCAGCTGTCCGGCAGGTCCAAAATGGCCGCCGGAACAGCCAAAAGGGCCCGGGGTGCAGCGTTTTCGCGCCCTTGGTAAGCAAGGGGAGCGCGCGAAAACGCTGCCGGAAGCCCCGAAATGGTTGCGCGCAGCTATTTCGGGGCTTCCGCAGTGTTTTCGCGCGCTCCCCTTGCTTACCGCGGAACAGCTGATCGGCGGGTCACAAAGCGAAGGTCGGTAAGCGAGCAGCTTACCGACCTTCGTTCTGCGATTTCCCGCCTATACGGGCACCATTTTGTGATCGCATTTGCAATCGCAAAAACGGCCTCGTAGAGCGCATTCATCGCTCTACGAGGCGCACGTTGTGCGAGGCACCACTGTATACAGAATATCAAACACTTACAGGGCTTCTTTATACTTTCTGCACCTTTCTCTGGTCTATATCAGCTCCAAAACTAATTTTTCCTATGTACAGTTTATTACATGTGCACCTTATAGCATACATTATTCCCTTGGTATTACAGTTAGTGAAATCCTTCAAGGTATAAAACTTTTTGTTCTGTGGATCTATAAATTCTGACATGTGCCTTGCTGCAATAAACACAATGCCCACATGGATGCTGTCCTCTTGGGGGGGGGGGACAGGTAAAACACTGGGAATTAAGGATGGTGTAGTATCTTTGAATTCCCTTTTAACCAATATATTTCTTAAATTCTTAGTCCTTTTAAAAGATATCTGTATTCCCTCTTCAAACCCCTTTAGATCTTCTAGAATGTGCCAGTGCCTTTTTATGCATTTGGTCAGTTGATTTGTTACATGGTCATATGTCAGTATACAGTTTACATGGTTCATAGGTGTCCTTACTTTTTTATTTAAGATGTCACTGAGCTTTGTCCTGGTGGCCTTAGCAAAGCTATTTCCTATTACCTCATCTGGATAGCCCCTATCTTTTAGTTAGTCTTTCAGCATTTGGGATTCCTGCTCATAGTCCTCTCTCATGGTGCAATTTCTTTTTATTCTCAAAAATTGGCCATAGGGGAGATGCTGACACAGAGGTCTAGGGTAGAAGCTATCAAACCTAAGGTAAGTATTACAGTTTGTTGGTTTTCTATATAAACTAGTGTATAGTTTCCCAGACTCTTTATTGATGATGATATCTAAAAAGTGTATTGCATTAAAGTTGTCGCCGTCGTTTAGTCATTTAGTTCTGTCCGACTCTTCGGGACCCCATGGACCAGAGCACGCCAGGCCTTCCTATCTTCCATTAGTATCAAATTTGATGTTGTTGTCCAGGGTATCCAGCCACCCACAAAACTGTATCAATGAGCTCTCTGAACCCCTCCAAATCATAATGATATCATCAATATATCTGAACCATCTGATCAATTTCCCTTCATAAAGGTGTGTTCCAAAATACATCCTATCTTCATACAGGTTGGCTATTTCTGGAGCCATCGCACATCCCATAGCAACTCCTTTTATCTGCCAATAGAATTTGTTGTTGAATTTAAAATAGTTCCGCTTCATGGCCATTGAAATTGAACACCTTAGTGCCTCATGGGTTAAATGAAGAAATAGACTTTCTCCCTTTATTATGCTGGGCTGGTTATCTCGCCACCCTGCACAGCTGCATACAAATGCCTCCTCTGCTAATCCCTAGACCCAAGAAAGGTAGAGAGAATATAACGAAGCATGGTAAGTGTTTGATATTTTATCATGCCTAATGTGCTTAGTATAAATGCATGTATTTATACAAAGCTGAGAGTCCCAAGCCAGGTGTAGATATATAATGAAAAAAAGAAAAGAAAATGTGAATGATTCAATATCCTAATGTGTGGTTTTGTATTATGCTCGGCTCCTGAAGAAGGCTTTGCCAAAATGCATTGAGCCAGAGCTTTTAAACAACTCAAGAAATACAGAATGAAGAGCTCACTTCTGCTTTCTACATCCAGAGACTTTGTTTCTCATTTATAATCTGGAGTTTAGGAGAGCAGAACTGCCTCTCCATCTCCATCCAAGCTCAATGCACAATGTATTAGTGCTGTCCTCTNNNNGTAAGGCCATGGAGTCCAAACCCCTGCTCAGCACAAGAATCCAAATCAAAGCAGATCTGACAGATGCTTGTCCAGTTTTCTCTAGAATGCCTCCAGCACTGGAGCACTCCTCATATCCTGAGGTAATTGGTCAATTATAGTACTGCTCTAACAGTTAAGAGATTTTTCCGGATATTCAGCCAAAATCTGGCTTCCTGTAACTTGAGCTCATTATTACATGTCCTGCACTCTGGGATTATCGAGAACAGATCCTGCCCCTCTGTATGACAGCCTTTGAAGAAGTCCAGATATATTACATCTAAGGTTGGGGAGTGCAGACCAGCTAAGCCTCTGAGCAAGGCAGGTCACCCCCCCCCATGCTCTTTCGGGTGCATGCATTCATGAAGGGGTGGATGAGTGCTGACGCTGGCACGCACGTGCGTGAGCAAACAAAAATAGTTTTCTGTGAAGTTTATTCTGTGATGCATACATACCTTGTAATTTCCCTTTCAGAGACGACATTGTAACTGTTATAATCAACATTTTCACCAGCAAATAACTGTCATTTCCCAACTGATCTCATAGCGTGGTGAAAAAAAATAGGAAATGTGCATGTTGGGAATTTGTAGATGCAACCCTATAAAACTTGGCTAAATAATCCAGATAGATTCTCTAATTTGAAAATGGATATAGTCTATGTCAATTACATAAATGAAATAATATAAGAATTGCTTCAACAAACATTTGATTTTGAAAGGTTTGTGAAAATCACCTAGTACCTGAATAGGGCACTATTGTGATTCCATTATTTTGAAGTCATATTCTCATACTAACAAAATTTCTTTGGAATAGTGGAGTTCATCAAAGAATAAAAGCAGAGAGCTCAAGCTGAAAAAAGTTTACCCTTAAAACATTTTTACAAAACTCTCTTGCATATTACTTGGGAATCTAGAGTGGAGCCTCATGGTGCAGTGGTTAAACTGCTGCTTCAAGGTTCACTCAGCTTTCCATGACTGCCCAGCTCACTGGGGTTGGTGGGTGGGCAATGTGTAGCATGTACGTATAATTAAATTGTAAACCACCCAGAGAGTGCTTTAAGCATTATGGGATGGTATATAAGCAGCATACTTTGCTTTCTGCTTTGCTTTTAATCTCTAAATATTCAATAAGTATTTTCTATATTTTTAACACATAATAGCAATTTAATTCAGCACTTTATATTTGATATGAAATTGTATCATTGTATGATAGGTGATTCTGATATAGAAAACAAAGTACAATAGCCAGTATTTGACAGTCAACGACTTCTGATGTTTTTGCATGTGACCAATGTGAAAATGTTCCTTGTCTGGTTCTTTTTTGAGATAGTCAGCCTTTGGTGCAACACATGGCTGAGTGTTTTCTACTGCCTGAAGGTCACCAACTTTCCCAATGGTCTCTTCTTGTGGCTGAAGACAAGGATCAATGCACTCACTCTCAAACTGCTTGGCATGTCCATCGTTGTCTCCTTGATCTTCTCTGTTCCTTCAACCATCAGTTACTATGATCAGAAGAAGTGGTGCAACATGACAGGAATGCAGCCACTGAATGCCAGCCAAAGCAAGGTTTGCAAAGATAGAACCATTGTTTTTCTTCCTCCTGAGTTAATTGTTTTCTCTATAAATTTCATCATGAACATAACAGCATCCATTCTTCTACTCATCTCTCTCTGGAGGCACACAAGAAATCTGAGGAATAGTGGCATTGGGGTTAAGGACCTCAACACACGCATCCATGTCAATGTGATAAAGCCTTTGATATGCTATGTCTTCTTCTACCTTATATATTTTGCTGGCATGATAATTTATGCAGGTAGTATAATAAACTATAGACCAATTGCAGTAGAAATTTCTAATATCCTGTTATCTCTACTTCCTTTATCACACTCCATTATTTTAATACTGACCAATCCAAAACTGAAAAACTGGTTTGCTTGCCTTCTGAATTTCAAACGGATTGCTTTACAAAGATGAAAAGAGAGGAGCAGACGCATAGCTCTTATGCTCAAGAAAAATGTCTCTGTGTGTGTTTATGTGTTTGTGTGTGAATGTGTGTGTATTTGTGTGTGTGTGTGTGTGTGTGTGTGTGTGTGTGTGTGTGTGTGTGTGTGAGAGAGAGAGAGAGAGAGAGAGAGAAAGTCAATATCACAAAAGGGTGTGAAGAGTAAATATACAATTATGTTTGGATAATCAATGGATGTTTCTCTTTTGACATGAATATGCAGGCTGAAACCATACATGTGATGAGCTCAATGTATTCCCTTCAGGACAGCTCCTTTTCCTCTTAAATCTTTCCTCTGATACATGCAAGATTTATTAATAGTAATGTTTTAATGATTGTTTGTAATATAGGATATTATTATAATATTGCCAATCAGCCGCTCTAGATGCTATTCCAAGTCCTCCATACCGAGCATGTTACCATAGTCTTTCGAGACTGAAGGATGCCTAACCTAAATGGGTTTAATGTTTTTAAAGTTTTAATATTGTTGTACGCTGCTCACAGACCACTGGTAATGGCACGGCTAAAAATCTTGTAAATAAATAAATACATACCTGTTTAGATATCCAGTTTTCTATTGTGATGTTTTTTACTAGCCTATTCACAAACATCAGTGTTGTCTTTGATAAATCAACTCATGAAGCATAGAAGAAGTGGAGATACATTTACATGAGATGATGAAGCATGAAAAGAGGATGCAATATGTTTATATTCAAGGGTGAACCATGAGGAAACTCTGTATTTTGCTGTTGAATCCAGACTGTTTGGAGTCATAGGCTATGATGGATTAAATGAATACTTCACTAGAAATAACATATTCTTAGTATTCAATATGATGCTGTATCGTATTCTGACATCACATATAAAACCTTTGTATGTTCCTAAA